GAAAATGGAAAATACAGCCCATGCAAGTAATGGGCATGGGAACCATGACAACTGGTGTACTTGTTGTAAAATTTTGGTATTCTACAAGATTAGCTGATTGCAGGAGGCATGCAACGTGCACCGTAATTAGTTCAGTTACACATGAATGCACATTATTTGAAGACTTTTATATTTGCCCCATTCCTCCGAGCATGAGACGGAGATAACACATCGGTTTTTTAAATTAGTATTATTGTTTTTTATTTTTGTATTTTTTAAATTTTTAGCATTTTGTTATTTATTTAATTTATTAATTAATACTTGGTTAGGCCTACACTTGATGTGTTTAAGTTCACTTATGTGAGTACCTTTAATCTGCATGAACTGGCAAAGTGATAATTTTGGCTAAACTTCTCCTGCTGTAACTGTAACAGATCTTACGCAGAAGGCGTCCAAAGAAGCTTCCTTACATGTTCAGATTAGGGGCAGGGCCTACAAGTAAACTAAATTACTTCGGCCCATAACATTACTTACACTGTTAGTATTGTTATGAGTATTTTTTATTTTTCTACTATTTTTTAAATTTTATTTATTATTTTATGTTTTTCAATTAATCACCGAAATATAACAATGTATAACTTTTTTCTTGCGCGTTAGCTGTAGATAGTAACACTATATCTTTGGCTTTCTTAGCCTTCTGCGCTGCAGCCGAGACTCGGGCGGTCACGCACCTGCACTCCAAGCTACTGGTACATGTTTACAACACCATGGCAACAAACAGCTGATTATTGAATTGAGGGATCGTCAACAAACCGTGTGCCTGCCGAGAATAATGCTATGTATCTTGGAGTGATAAAACAGATTCTCACAGGCCCAATTATTATGTATTTATTTATTTCTTTGTTTTGTTTCTTATTTGAACCACTGTGCAGTGACTGACTGAAGCCTGGCCAAAACCATTGAGAGCAGCCAACAATGCCTGTTGTATACCTAGTGCGGCAGCCAGGATCGCCGTGTAGCCCGAGTAGATGGATGCCTGCTGCATGAAAGAGGCCCCTGACATCAACAGCCTTGTTGAGTGCGAAATGCGCTGTTCCAGTGACTCCATTTAGCAATGAGCAGTGGCAATGGTAGCTACTTGGAACCGGCTGCCCGGACATCGATGGCCTTGGAGAGTCCAAAGTGCACTGCTCCACTGATTGCACTTAGCGATGAGTGTTGGCAATGGTGGCACAATGGAACCGTCTGTTGGATGAGCACTGGGTGTCTGGAGAGAGAATGCTGCTCCTCCGAGAGCTGCTTGTAGATAGTGATGCACAGCGGCAAGTTGACTCGATCCATAGTGCTGTCCCCTTGTAGTACAGGCCCGGCTGTGGACAACAGCCATGCGCATCCAAGGTGACGCACGCTGGTGTACTGTGAAAGTGACCGATGAGCAGGGTCTCTCATGCTAACCGTTGAAACGCGGCATCACACGAAAACGGCACGTGAAGACGTGTGGATTTACGAGGCTGTGTACACATACCTGAGTCAGTCCTGCCAGAGAAGAGGATATGGTGGAGCAACCAAGCCCCCTCAGACGTTCCCAATCGATCCGCAGCAAAAGACATCATTGATCAGCAAATGGCATCATGACTCGCAAGGAAAATGAGACCATAAGATGAATGATGCATTCTCGCAATGGCCTGCAAAAGAGATCCATCCACACAAGAAAATCCGACGGCGATTCTTCCTTTACGTAGGCCGATTACTACAAGAAATATATACAAGGCCTACCAGTAGTTGGCCTAGTAAGCTGACGTAGGATGCAACTAGCAATCGATTCGAGGAAACCTTGCGCGACATATTAGTAAATTCCAAGGCACAATAATTTTTTTAAGTGAAGCTTTGCCACCTTTCCCATAAGGGGCATGAAATTGGCCTACAGTTTAACCAATTTGCACAAGGACACTTCATATCCAAGCAACTCGCGAACCTGAACACAACAGCCCAGTCACGTGATCATTCATGGCTGCTCTTACATGACCGCAAAACAATAAAACCAAAGGGCGCCCTCATGCATTTTCAGAGAGTAATGACTTTTATCGTTTATGCAATAAAAGAATTATTTGTTTAAGCCCATGTCACTTTTCGGCCTCAATGTGAGATGGAAAAGTAATTTTATTTTAAACTATTTAAGATTCCTCATGATGATGAGGATGAGGGGGTAATATTTCTTCATAATCACTGTCACCTTTTTGCCCCAGTGCTTCTAAGGGGAGGAAAGGAGGAGGGGAGAATGCCCAAAGTGCATGTATGTGTAATCTGTTATATATCTGTTTAAATTGTTAAAATCAGACAAGAAAAGGCTTAGATATGATTTTATCAATAGTTTTGGGATATTACTGATTTGGACTGCTTGTCTTTGCCAGTACCTGTAAAAAGTTATGGTTTCCTGGCCTTGCTTGCAGATTTTTCTTTGGTAAACAGTGGAGTAAACAATTTCAAATTGGAAATTCAAATTTCTAAATATGGTAGTCGGGAGATGTGAATGCATGTTACAGAGGAATTTGACATGACTTGTTTGTGATTTTAAGTGGAAGTTGTTATGGAAATAAGAATAAACAACAAATGTGAAAAAACACTAAACCAATCCTTTCCATCCGTAAAATAAAACATACGTGTAATCAAGGGATCAAACATATTGTCAGAAGTTACAATGATAAACACTGATAACAGACATTATTTTTGTCTTAAGTGGGATTACTTAAGTTGTGTATCACCTTACATTGTGTAATAACATAACAGAAAACAAATTAAACTTGCAATATTTCCTTTAACCACTTGCTGCTGGGGAGCCTGGTTTTAGACACATATTCTTAAATGCACAGCCAAAATAGGACAAAGGGAACTGTGCCTTGTAACAAAAGACCATACTTGTAGCAAAAGACCAGGCTGCTGGGAATTACCAACATTTTTTCACTGTCAATAGCGGAGATTGTCCAGCATTGTTTTGAAACAGTACAACAATATTTGTGGCATTCAGCGAATTACAACCGGGGACAAAAGCGCTCCATCACTGCAGCGATGAGCCACACAGTACCCCAGCACGTCAATCTGGCCCCAATTGAAAAGACGTCAGCAGTGCACTGTGCTGGTTTCGGGAACAAAGAAAATTACATAACACCGCACATTCTTTTTACAAGGTGGCAGGCCTGGCTGAAATATACCTGCGTCAAAAGAACATCTATTTCTTTCAGATTAGATTTTTCGGAGCATTCAGACTAGAGTAGCCACTAGATAGTCATTTGTATGGGTGTGAGTGTCCAGTAAATGAAGAAATGAAGTTTTAAAGAATTTTGAAAACAGAAAAAAAGCAAAAATATACTCTGGCCCAGTAGAGTCAACATTTATACATGTAAATGCCCCCGGCCCGAAGTGCTTAAGAAAAAGTGTCACCGTGCTCATTTGTTCATCACTTCAGGATGTAATAATTATATGTCTACATTATAAGGACTTTCTGGCTTCCTTATGTGTTTCAAAAGTAGGATTTGCTGTTATGGAAACAAGGAAATGATTAAAAAATCAATTAAATCCCCCCCAATCTTCCATTGCCCCAAACCTCAGTCCCCTTGTGAGTTGATAAAAAGGACATAATAAAGAAAAAAATGATAAAGCAGTCTACAGTTTAACTTGTTTCCTCATTCATTTTGCTTATGATTGATGCACAGTCTAAATAGGCCATTTTACCAACTTTTGTTCATTTGTATATTGTATGATTGTCAAAATGAAAATTTAGAATACCTGCAGTGTACTGTGCCATGTGACACATAGTTGAATCATCGGGATAAAAAACTTTGTGCATCTTTAACTTACATTGTACTTTAAAATAACATCTAATATACCATATTCAAGTTTTAACTGACCTTGTTACTTAAATTTTAGAAAAAACAGCAAAGGAACTCGAGTAACAAAAGTCAGTCTTTTCGTTTGTTTTCAAAATAACCAAAACCTACAACAAACGCAGGCAGGTCCGTACACAAGCTGTGTATCTAGCATGTTGGAAGTGTTTATGGGCTACAAATTCTATTACTGTGCTTTTCTATGCCAGGTGACATGATCCTGCTTATCTTTGCAAGGTAAAACTGGGGTTGAGAAAGCATTCTTCCACCTTAAAATTACTTTAAAACTATTATTAACACATATTGGTACAAGATTTGAGTTTCCATTTATCCTTGTTCTACCGTTGATGAGTTTACCCAGCGCAGTACGAGAGTGGTAATTTTAGGAAAAACAACCTAGAAATATGACTAAACTTCTTTCTGTTAGTGGATTGGAATACATTTAAGAACCATAATACCGGTAATTTGCCTTACAAGCCGTTTAATGTTGCATGTCCAGATTGCAGGCGTTCCCATTTATTTGTTCAGATGCAATACTCAAAGATGCACTTGCACACTTGGTGTTCAGTGTAAAAGGACAGCCATGTTCTGAAAGTGCTGTACATACAGATGCATTTTGCTGTACCACACAGAAAAGGGCATTGTGTTTCCCATTGCCTCTACAATATAACTCTCTCCCATAGACTAAGCAAAGGCACTTACACTGAGGAAAAAAGAGCAACCACCAGGGACAGGGAAATATCTTTTGTTCAATTAGTGTTCTCTCCTCCTTGGTTAAAATATTGAACAAAACAAGTAAATATGTGTAAAAATAAGGAAGGGTTGCGTAGCACCGTGATCAGAATACTGACAAGAATATCATACAAATTCGGTGCTCTGGAATATGTGATTGCCGAGCTTTCGTCAACTGAGTACCTTCTTCAGGGCAAGCAGATTCAAGTAACTATGCGTACACCCCTAACCCCCTAGGCTGACTGTAAAATCACATTGACATTGGAGGATTTGGGACTGTTAGAGCCGACAATTTCACAGAACAATGGCATTTTTGTTTAACATCCACATAAAGTTTGAACATTTTTAAAACAAATTAAAAGAAAACCATCCCCCCAAATAATGAATGCAAAATCAAACACAACTTACCTGCTGGGTTAAAACAGCATCAGTACCAATTAAGTGTGATTGGTTGCTTAGTGAATGATCCTCTGATTGATCTGACTGGCTGATATCCCCGGTCAGCTGACTGTCATGGCCTCTGATCATTTCTGATTGGTTGAGAGGATTGTCCTCTGACTGTTCTGATTGGCTGATATCACTTGACAGCTGCCCATTGTTGCTGGTAACGAGCTGTGATTGGTTGACTGAGTTTTCCTCTGATGGATCTGATTGGTTATTGATGTCATTAGTTGTTGTTAGACTGATTCGGACTGGGAGTCCTACAAGACCTAGAACAGCAAACATACAAACTGCAAATGTCACATACTGTAGGGAAGTCCAGCCCCCGATTTCAGTTGTGAGATCATATGAATGGATTTCAAATACTTTTCAAAAAACAAATTATATTTGCCAAAAATCTCTATATAAAACATATTTCTTGAAAACTGAGATACATGCACATATTTTGACAGTAAGACATGCAGAAGATTAATATGCAGCCAACTCTCACTATTACAAAATCAGCAGGACCCTGTGAAAATGTTCACTCATCAATGTTCATTTGAATTTTGCTGCATGCAGAGCATAGTGCACTGGCTTCTGGCCTCGGATTTACAACATGTACAGATGCTACTGTGTGTGTATACAACAAATGTACATCAATATGGGTGATGTCCGAAGTTGTAACAATACTCTGTAGAGAATGATTCATCGAATGTAACAGGAATAATAAACCATCAAAATGTTATTTAATGAAAAACAATGTGCATGAATGGCAAATGAAATAGAAACACCAAGACGATCAACTATAATTTATGTCTGAGGGCGAAGTCAAGATATATGAAACAGCAAGTATGCCGATGATCCACTGGTACGTGATCTTTCCTAAACAGTGTCACAGAGAGATATTATACTGTCTGTTCATTTTGTAATGTTCACTGTGTGATACCAGTTTTCTTCTGGGCACGTGCCTTTGTTGAAAATTCAATTATGGACAAGCATGAGTGCACAATGGTCAATGTGTCCCATGAAAATATTGTCTGAGTGTAACAGATCGTTCTCTGTTCTGTACTTCGCAAGAGACAGGACGTCTCACAAAGCCTACATGTACATGTATGTCATGCAAGCACACAAACTCACTGGCAGGTACATGTATACCAGTTCTTACTCAAAATCCTTTGTGACAAGAATAGTTCTGTGTTTGGGCACTCAATTCCTTTCGTGTTCTTAACTTGGAGATAAATGTTTTAACCCTTTTCTGAGCTTGGGCCAGGGTGAATTTACTTTTTCTATCAAAGAGAGGTTAAGAACCTTATTTCATTGTATTTAACAAAAAAATTCATAGAATAGGGTGATGGTTTGGGGGGATGGTTTTGTAATTTGGGTCTTTTCATTGTAAGTTATCTGTATGGGTGCATGGGGCAGGGGATCAGTAATCTGTTGAGGATTTGGGGATAATGGCCTCATTTTTTCATAAGTTAAAACTGTCAAAGGCCTTTGTAAAATCAATCATTGTTTTTTAAGAATTCTTAATTTTCATATAAATTAGCTATAGCAGTGCGCACTCGACAAGAATAACTGGAATGCACCAAAGTAGCGGTGCATTTTGATGATAGGTTGTAGTTGGTAACCACAATGGATGATTAGCAACTGTGCGCAGTCCAAAAATAAGTACCTTCGCATTAAAACATTTTACATCGGGTCAAGATTAACTAATACAAGAGACACAGTTGGGGTAAAAACATACACCTATTAAAACAAAAACAGTTTTCCTTGAATTTCAATCATTCCTATCGACTTGTCTTTTCATGAGGCCAGACAAAATGGGTCTTTACTTGATGTACATGGTGTATGCATCAATTAAAAAGCCTGAGACATATATATGGTTCTTGTTTTTTAATAATAAAACAAATCAGAAGTACACAGTCCAACCCTAATAGTGCCACTTTCTGTACACTTGTTGTCACATCTCATAGTCGCAGTGGACCACTTTCTGAAGAGTTCTTGAATGACAATAAGGAGGTAGATGTACATTGTCACAAAATGAAAATGTCTCTGAGTATTTTTGACTGAAGTAAACACTATGAACATGAAGCTGAGATACAACTTGTCTGGCCTCGTAAAGAAAAGGTAGGCAAAACTATTTCAAACAGCAAAAAAAAATGAGGAAAATGATTTTTTTACCAAGTGAATGTAAACTTTTTGGCCCAACTGTACCAACTCGGCTTAAAATTGTTATCCAGGATTTGTTAACACATTATAAATGAGTCTCCAACAACTCTTTTTAATAATGCAACAGAATAAAAATTTTGTACTATGTGATTTTGCTGTAACAGATTTATTCCCCATAGATATTTACATATTTTTTCCAGAACTGAAGATGTGTACTTGTTGTAACTTGAATTTTGTTATAACCAAGTTTCTAATAATGAGACTCCATTGTATCAACTTCTCATCTTTACTCCTGCAAGACGTCAAACTGATTCAATGATCAGACTGGCAATTCAAGCCAAACTTTCTAATTTCAAACCCATCATCATTTTTTTTAAAGATCTGCTACCAGAAATTGTATGCAGCATATTATTTACCAACAAATAGTACAATGTACTTTCACTGGACTCTATAACACAAAGCTTTCTATACTCTATGGTAAATGCAAGTAGTACAATTCATGGGTTTTGTTCCCACCCGAGTATTACTGAAGAGGGAAGAAGTTGCTGTAAAAGATCAATTACCTGAAGATACATGTATCTCACCATCCTTACCTGTTCTGTCCTCTCTATCTGCAGCTAAAGCAGGCTGCTGGCCTGTCTTACTGGATACAGCCCCATAGTCCCTATTTGAGGAGCCACTTCTTGAAAGAGTGGATAGGGCAGGATGCTTAGATAAAGCAGATATGATGATTTGGCCAGATGGCAACAGTTGGCGATTCAAATGATTTAGCTCCACTGTCACATTCTCATTGCCTTGCAACTGATCACCCTGTTCAGATAAAAGATCAGTGAGACTTATTTCGAGTCAGTTGGTTAAATGAATCCAAATTAATACCATATACTTCCGTCAGTACCTTTGGGTATGCAGGAAACAGATCTATGGTGCAGCATTGTTGTCTAAAAGTTGGAACCGGCCTGAAATCAAGCTACACAGAAGATCTCACAGACATGCATGTGTCGTTTCTAAACAAGTTAAGCAAAAAAGAACCCTATCCCTCTGATGGGGTACAGTGCAAGTTGATGCTCTTTGTGTTCTGACCACTAAGGAGTGCAGATCACTTTAGTCCTATAAAATGCAGAACAGATACAAGAACAGTTCCATTCCAAGCCTCACCCACTTACTGAATAAGCAGGTTTAACCTTTGAAGCTTACGTGTGATATGTTTCGTATTGTGTGATTTCCCTTGGATCACTTTAATTACCTTTTACCAGTTACATTTATATTGTATGTATATATATATCCATGTACATGCATTGTGCAAGCTTTTGATCTACCTTCCCTTTTGCCTATATTGGACTTGTAAATGCTTGCAATTCGTCAGAAATGATCTTTCAGAAATTTATTATTATGCTTCTGAAAAAATAATTCTTGTGATGTATGAATGTAAAGCGCAATTCAACCTACTGGTTCATATACTGTGCATTTTTAATATGCGATTTTGTTTTCTGAACTAAACAAATTAATAATAATAATAAAAAAAGGTAAGCTGGCATGATCCAAATATTTTGTAAAGTATGCACAGTGTATTTCAAAATACATGTAAAATGCTTATGAGTGTAATCCGCCTCGACTAAAAGTACCCCCTCAACAGTTGAACAGAGCCAGGTGGTCCGCACTCCGCAGTACTCAATCAGTCGTGATCTTGTTTGGCGCATGCATGGCTGACGCAATGCGCTGTGACACTAGCACACATGCATTACGTGTACATGTACTAAGTTTGAGCTCTTCAAAAGTTTTGTCCGTGTGTGCATTCTCATGCCCTAGGCTATCTAGCCGAGGTCTTCCATTCAGACTGTACAGCTTTAAAGAAGGCAAAAGAACATTGATGCTGTCTTTTAAGGAGAACCCCCTGTCAACAATTCAGGGAGAAAATAGTCAAAATAGAAATTCTGTACCTTAGAAATTGATGTCTGGATGGAAGTAGGATTGAATGGCACATGGGAGACCTTACAAACAGAATGATTGTTTTAACTCCTGTTACATACATTGTAACATTGAATTTTTAAAGCCTATTAGTCCATGCACCTCAAAGTTGAGATATGGAACATTTGAGGTTTTAATTTGCCAGTTTACAATCTCTGAATATTTACAAGAATATAAGGACATTGAAGTTCAGTTAACTTTGGTTCATTGTTACCTGTGATGATACCATCTGGTGATGCACACAGTCATGGCTGTGACGAATGGCAAAATAAACCATCATTTGTGATGCGCTCTCCTGATATCTTTTCATATTGCATTATGAGGAAGGTGGTTTATTTATTTTATTCATGTAACTTTTCAAATGTTTTTATAAATCTAAAATAAGATGAGTTTATATTTTTATGAAAATTATAAACATGTACTTAATGTTTATTCTTAGTACCAGTATGCGAAAAGACTTACGTACATGTATAATGGATGTGTGTGTGAATTTGTTTGCATTTAAATTATTGTAACCTTTTAGTTTTTGAACTTTGCTGGAAATGTAAAGAGCAAAAAGTAACACAATAAAAGTTGTGTTTATCTGTCAACAGGTTTATTGACAGGTTACATTTAATAATTACTTCCTGGGATTTTTTACCTCACCTTCTCAAAATAGAATTAAAGCCAGTCTGAAAGTATGCACGTCTGCTTCTTTTCATTTCAACTACATGTAGATAAAGCTGCTGGGCCACCACCAGGTTTGGAACAACCACAGCAGCCCCGCAACACTGACAGGTTCCATACCATCATTCTCATTCATCAACGAGTAAATTATAATCACTATCATAGGAACTGAATCCACTCACTTTCACTCGAAGAATCCGATACGTGTTTACAACTTTTTCTTTGACACATTGAAATTGTAGACTCAGCAAACAAGCATGCATGTACAGTGTAGGTTGCTGTCTTTTCTCAATTAAACAGCTTTACATCTATACACATACTGTACACGGTAGCAGCGATTCAGGCCAAGATTCAGGTCTGCATACTCCTACATTGACCAACCCGCGTTATTCTCTGTGGCATATGAATAATCTGTCGCCACTGCACGTATACACAAGTGCAATCTCACATGTATGCCATGCAAATTACGTTCTTCTTCACCTTCAACGTCTTGTACTCCATTTTGATACAAATTTCGCAATTATTTTGACCAGCTAAGAGTAAGAATTTAGGTTTAAGCATCTTAGAGATTAATGTATAATATTGTGCATTTTCAGCACATCCTTAGAAATCCTTGTGTTAATGAATTTGGGCAGGAATCAATGCCAGCTTACATACTCGCATATCTTCATGCATGCTTGTTATGTCATCAATCTAACACAAACACAGCCTCGCATGTTTCTGAAATCAGCCCAGTTGCTTGTGGACAGAAACTTTTATTTCTCTGGCGTTGATTTTCAGCAGATAAATTAATTGTATATTGGTTTTTGGGAGGATAATCTACATGTACTTCCAAAATCCTTGGTATTGAAATATTTGAAGTCATTTTCAGTTGGGCTTTAATGATAATAATAAAAATAATAATAAAACATGTTTCTTGGCTCCCAAATTTAATGTGCGCTTTAATCCAACACTGAAAATTTGATTTAAATAAAAAGAAAGAAATTAAGGATTGGTGATAAAAAAAATTGATTTTGGTGTTATCAATTTTCTACTTCCTTGTAATTTTTGTGCTGAAAGTGTCAGCCCCAACTCCTCATGCAAAAATACTCCTGAGATAGGCTGCAACATATTTGAAAGGGCTGAAGCCCAGAACAAGTGCATCGATGACTGAAAAAGACTACAACAAACGACTGTTACAATAAACATTCTTTGTGAATTTTGTCATGTATGCTGTAGCAGTATTGCACTGTAAAGAGGAACAAGCATGTATTGATATCTTGAGATGAATCCTAAACTAAAGGGATTTAGGACTGCTTTAAACAGAAAGAAATGCCAAGCATGATTACCTTACCATTCTGACAACTTACCTGTAAATTAGTGACAATGTAACCTGCTGTACTTGCTGTCTCTCCTTGACCCGCAGTACTTTGTATGACATACGTATTGGATGGTGTCAGGTTCATTGATGTATCCAGAACCTCATATTGGTACACATCTACTTGCTCTGATGTTGCTGTTTTAACATGAATATGAAAAAAAAATACCTTCAAGTTCATACCAATACTAATACATTTCTCCAGGTAAGTCACTCCTGTTTACATAGATGTGCTGATGTGTGCCTCTTTTTGAAACCAAGTAAAAACACAAGTATGGCGTATTGTTCAAAAGATGAACTAAAATGCAACTCCACATGTCATTTTTTTAAAAACTACTAAAAGAGTGACTTTGGTAATTTAAAACTCAAATTTGTACCTTCAGATTTATAAAAATGATAAGGTCGGGATAATTAAGCATATGTGTACATTTTGTGGACATTTGGTTGGCTACTAGTGCAGATTAAAGGCACTTGGATTCATTCAAAGTTTTAAGTCAATATATTTGTATCAGATCGGGCCATGAAAAAAGTCCAAAATGATTAGAAAGATTTGGCTTTCTTCATTCCCTAGCCGTTTCAGTTCCCTCTAACTATACCAGCATATTTAACAGGTTTCATACCTTTCAGCTACCCAAATATATAACGAGTACAATATGTTCATTGCATATGTCATATCTGAGAGAATTTGTATGATGGTTGAGAACATTGATGCGAAATGCATATATTGACATTATCGAAAGCGCTGCCACACTAACAATTCCAAGGGCAATGTTCATTTTGCCAGTTTTGGAGATATACCCTCTCAAAACACATCCTTTTTCTGATCCTAAATTATATAAAAGGTAGAGTTGTAACGTGCAGTGTCAGGGGTCAAAATTAACTTTTTTTCCCCAGTCCTACCAAAACCGCACATGCAGCCTCAGTGAGCAATCCTTGTTAGGGTGCAGGCGTGGCAATTTTTTTTTTGGTTTGCCCGATCGGGCAGGCCATGTCATAAATTTGCTTGCTTTTTGTTTTAGGGGCAATTCTGTGCTGATTGAATGACATCAGTGGGGACAACAGCTTCCAAAAGTATCTCAAAAAGTGATAAACACCTGTCTTAATGAAAATTCACACAATCACGAAGGCAATCAGAACGGCAAACTGGCCAACAATGTCTGTGTATCGCATGGTATTAAAGCATGCGTGATGCATCCAGACCAGCTGATGCTAAACCTTGTGCCATGAGCATAACCTCAAATGACACTCATGAACACAGAAAATACATACATAAAAAAGAGACCAAGTTCTATGAATTCACTTGCAGAAAACCTCTTGCAACGTAACATCAATGTCTTTCCGGCCTGCAGCCTTTTGCGTTCGCAACTTGTATATGGCCGATGAAGAGTGTTGTACTTGAATGGTACAGACTGGTACTGGTTGCTACATTTCCATCATGCATTCTTCTGCACGGGTGTGGTAGGGAGGAAATCACAGCAGCTTTGTTTAATGCATAGAGATTCGTGCACGTGTGTTCACCACTGTGACAGTGAAATGTTGATGTTGACAATGCGCAAAGAGTTATGGGGCGATTTCATGTCTGTGCAGGTAAAGGATACATACACGCGTGGTGCTGGGTGACATAAGCCAGCGATGAGTGATCAGCCGTGATGAATGCCTTGGGCGTAATTAACCTAATTCTAACACAAAACTAATAATAAATCGGATGCCATAATCCCATATATTCTGTTGATATTTTAAGAGCTGTTTATTGATATGTTGGTCTGACAATTTGCCTGAGCATCTTTGATTATGTTCAGACAAACACAATAAGTGCTCAGAAAATGTCCGACTGAAATTTCACACTCAGAGACTCCATACACCTGGAACAAAATATCCCACAGAGGAGCTGGTTTGCAGTATCCAGAAGAAAGAGAAGTACAGTGCACCATTCAGCACTATGCTCCGCCAAGCCCACGTACATCACATGGGTGAAGGTATGTACCCTTACATCCCAACATTTTTCAATTCAATAGGTACGATAACTGAAACACGTCTGCTTTAGAAAAATGATTTCCTTAATGCAACTTACGTCCCATAGGTACTGTTAGGGAAGCAACAGGGACAGACAAATTCATGTCTGGTGTCAAGTGTTTGGATCCACGTAGAGTCTTCACGTGCTTGGAGCCAATGGGACTGGTACGGATGTGGTCAATTAGTGCTGGAGTCAAAAATATGCACATTTTATCACTCTCAAGACGTAAAACAAACAATAAAATGAACAAGAAACACATTTCAAATGTAATGAATCCTTAGCTCTAGTAAACATAATTGTGCAGGGAATAAGTTTACTTCAGTCTGCACTCTATTTGATTACAGCAGGCAATCAGTACATGGTGGGCTCCAACATGTCCTCACTTGACTGTCATGAGTACATTTCACAGCAAAAAGTGAACTGTAGTTCATGCATACAGCTGATAGCTGTTGACTTTGATGAACTCACCAGCCAGGCTCATCTCTTCATGACCAGGTATATGTCTCTTAAGCATCCACCATTTTGAGCGTAGCCACTGTGGAGATCGCACACTTCTCCAGTTTTTTGCTAGCTCATCCCAGTTGACTTGACTATCATTTTCTGCATCACTTTCCAGCAATCTGAGCAAGAATTAAGTCTTCTTTTCAATGAAACTTCACAATATATTTTTAAAACTGCATTTGTATTACCCCTTCTCTCAAAAGAGAGTACCGTATACTTTGTGGTAATAAGCTCAATGACACTTGATCTTTCAAATGAAAATGAAGCAAGGCTTGTGAAGAAGCACAATTAACCACTACCTGCAGGGTAGATTTCTCTTGAGAGGGACATGATGGCGGGACCTTTTTAACCACTTCGTGCCGGGGCATTTTTCAACGTTGAGGATGCTGGGCCGGCATGACTATCATTTTTTCCGTTTTAAAAATCCTTCAACAATTCATCATTCAATTTAACAGTCGTTTATAGCTGCACGGAGTAATCTTTAGGCACTACTCTAAGTTGACAAGTGACCTTCATTGACGCCCGAATATTTCAGCCAGGCCTGCAGCCTTGTACACAGAGCCCAG